TTCAGTACATTTTAAAAGATGTAATGGCCAGATCATGGGTACTGACATATTAATTATCAAACACACACACACACACACACACACACACACACACATGCAGACCTTCCTAAAAGCAGGAGAATCAGGGTTTCAAGCCAGTCTCAGTCATACAGTGAGTTCAAGGACAATCTGAACTACATGAAACTCTCTCTTTAGAAGACTATATAGTCTCTTTGTGTTGGGAATATCCCACGTCATCTCTGTTAGATACTTTTAAGAATTCAATCCAATTCATCAGCTACTGTTACCCAATTACATTCCTATAGGGTAGAGTTATTTCACTCCATACAAATCAGTCTCCCTTCCTAGTGCACCCAAGCCTTCCCAGGTTTTGGTAAACAATACTCCACATTCTACTCCTTTGGGATCAACTTTACCTCCGTATATAAGTGAGAGCATGTTGTACTGTCTCTCTGAACCTGATTTATTATCCTTTGTGTGATATCCTGACTGAAAGGAAGCTGGAAATGTTCTGCATGAGGCTGGAAACTCCATCTTAGCTTTAGTTAGGGCTGGGAGACTTGAATATTGTCAGTTACGTGCCAGCATCTTCTACGAAGTCTGAAGTTCTGGGGCCTCAGAACCAAGCGTTTTGGTTCCCCCCCCCCCTTTTCCATCTGTCTCATATTTTTTCACATAGGAGTTAATGTTACTGTGTTCTCTAAAAATCAAACCTTCAAGTCAAGAAAACCAAAAACAATGCCCTTCTTCCAATACATGGTTTGAGACTGGGTTTTGCATAACACTCTTTAGCCTCCTGTCCTTTGCCTCAGTCACTGACAGATGGCACTGCCGAGAATAAATTGTCCTCCCTCGCACCTTGATGTGAAGACAGTGGAGCTGACCCCAGTGGAACTGTCTGTTTTGAGTGGACGATGCCAGAAGAAAAGAAGACAGCCATTTCTCCCTGGGGAGTTAGGCAGGGATAATACGACTTTTCTTCTCTAGCAGGTTGTCACTCAGAGCCAGTGAAGAGTCGTGGGACAGGTGGTACCAGACTGCAGGTCATGCTGTGTTGCAGTGTCACTGTGCAGGGCTGGCAGCCTTGGCCTAAGCTCACCCCAGCGAATGGTGGTTGGGTGGTGCCAAGGGGTAGCCAAGGTGAGTTACCAGAGAGAAAGCTTTGTCGCATGGGATAGCTAAAGAACAAAAGCAGGCATAATAGTGCACTCCTGTAATGCCACCTGGAGAGTGGCGGGGGCAGACAGAAAGTTCCTTCCCTGGAGCTTGCTGGCCAGCTCGTCCAGCTAAAACAGCAAGTTCCGGGCCCAGTAAAGAGACCCTATCTCAAAAAGCAAGATGAGACCAAAGATAAGGCTTAGCAGTAAAGATGCGTGCTGTACAGGTCTGACGACCTGAGTTCGATTCCCAGGGCCCACTTGGTGGAAGGAAAGAACTGACTGTTGCAGGCTGTCCTCTGACTTCCGTGCGTGTACACCTGCCACCTACCCCCAGCACACGGTAAACCTTTGTTGTTGCCTTGTGTTGAGACAGGGCCTCTCTACATGGTCCCTGGCTGGCCTGGAACTCACTATGTATGAGTCTGGGCTGGCCTCAGACTGAGAGTTGCCAGCCTTCTGAGTGCAGGGATTAAAGCTGTGTGCTGCCACGCCCAGCTTTTTTTTTTTTTTTTAATTAAAAACAATAGGGTGAAGAGTGATAGAAGAAGATACCTGATATTGACATGTGACCTTCAAACACACACACACACAACACAGACACACACACACACATACATACATAAACACACATGCATAGATGTACACACACACACACACACACACACACACGCACGCACACAGTAAAGACAGACTGCATGATAGAGACAAACCATCCTCCACTGTCTTTTACCAAAAAATGAAAAGTGGCCGTGCACGCCCTAGTGCACACCCTAGCTAGGAGGCAAAATACTCCCTCAGGCAAAGGCTCCAGCAGGGCTCCGGTATGGATTGAACATTTTCCTGTTGCCCATGTGGCTTTTCTGAGAAAGGAACAGAAAGGTACGTGAAGGAGGAATAAGACAAAGGAAGGGAAGACAGGTGATGGCGCCGACACACTCTTGAGGCAGAAAGAAGGTCTGGGAAGCCTCGAGTAAGCAGCAGACACCATTTCCCTGAGAGCTGCTGAATGTGGGTTGTGTAAATCTTTGGGAGGTGTCTGTGACGCTTGGCACACTGCAGGCAGAATGCTATAGCAACCACCCCGTCTTTTGTCTCCTTCAGATAATATGCCCGGCTGCTTGTTAAATACTGACAAAGGGCTGCCTTCTCAGGCAGAGGGACCCGAGAAGGGCTTTTGTCACTTTACAGCCAGGAGGCCTAGTGTCAAGAATGACCCAGAGCCATGGGCTCTCAGTGCTGTGTGAAGAGTGGCCCTGCTCAGTAACAGCATCACTGTATTGTTTGTGACCATAGATGTCAAGCCCACAGCAGGGCGCGTGCTGCTGACGGGGGAAGCCTGTCCCTCTTCCCGTCCTCCTCCACTGTGCTCTCTGGGATAGCTGGATTTCACGTTTTTTCATCTGGATTTGTTGTTGTTGTTTTCTGAGACAGGGTTACAGGCAGCCCAAGCTTGTATTAGAGTCTCTGTGCAACCGATGATGGCCTTACACTCCCAACCTCCATGTGCCATCGGGTCGGTCCAGCTCTAGATTTCTGTTGTGATTTGTTGAAATCCAGCGAGTAGTATTTTCCTTGCTGCATCTTGATTTGGTGTTTCAGTGATGCCGGAGATTGAACCCAGGGCCTACATTAGGCAGGCACTCTACACCGTTCCTAAAGCCCCAGACCTGTGAAGCATTCCAAAGTGAAAACTCTCTGTCACTGCAAAGCCCTGAGATGAGTCAGGCATGCTGGGGCGCATGTTTAATTCTGCGCTCAGGGAGGCAGAGGCAGGCAGCCCTCTGTGAGTTCAAGGCCAGCCTGGTCTACAGAGTGAGTTCCAGGACAGCCAGGGCTACATACAACAAACAAACAGAGCTAACTGGATAGCAGGGAGCAGGGAGCACAGAGAAGCTTGGGGACTGGATGGGAAATTGACCTAAATGAATTCTACAGTGCCTTCTAACCTGGAATTTTTTTTTTTTTTATTCCTTTAGAACAGTGGCTCTCAACCTTCCTCACACTGTGACCCTTTAACTCAGCCTCATGTTGTAGTGACCCCAACTGTAAGATTATTTTCATTACTACTTCATAACAGTAATTTTGCTACTGTTATGAATTGTAATGTAAATATCTCCGCTTTCGGGCAGTCTTAGGTGACCCCTGTGAAACAGTCATCCAACCACTCCCAAGGGGTTGTGACCCACAGGTTGACAAATGCTGCTTTGGAACAACTATGATGGAATGCGACATGGTTGGCTTGAAGTAGGGTGGTCCAGATATGGTGGTGAAACTGGAGAGCAGGCCAGAGATGTGACTAAGATGGTAGAGCAGCCATCTCGCCTGTGCAAAGCCCTGGGCTCAGCCTGAAGCCCAGATGGAGGCAGGAGGATCGCTGTGAGTGTGAGACCAGCCTGGATGTATAGTGAGAATTAAAAACAAACTGGAGGACAAAGTTCACCATTCCCCAGAGTGACAAATCAGGGATTAGTCAGATTAACGGAGCACAGGAGAGGGGCAGAGGTGTGGGTACTTTGGTGGCGTCCTCAGAAGGCACAGGAACTGGCAGTGATCGCCGAAGACAGAGATCCCACTCCATCTTGCTATGGACACTGAGGAGAATGTTAGGCTCACACTGACGGCTCTTCCCTGGTGGCTGCCATCACTCTGAGTAGCATTACAATTAAGTGCTATCTTCAGGGAATTCTTATCAAAATGAACAATCATTTTTTGAGATAAGGAGTAGCACGTATGGTCCATTTCTAACAATGTCTTTGTGCGCCCACTTTCCCCTCCCAGAACTCGGAATGCTTGTGTCCTTGTGACTTCAAGTTGCTCCTTTTTTTTTTAATTTTTAAAATAGATTTCTTGAAATTTTCTACATAAATGACCAGGCCACCTGCAAATTAAGATGGTTTTGATGCCCACTTCTCAATCAGTGAGCCTCATATTTCTTTTTCTGTAGACTATCGTGTTTTCTACACCCAGAAGAATTAACCAGAATGGTGAGCATGGCTGCTCTGGCCTTGCTCCTGATATTAGGGGAATACACGTAGCCTTTCACTGGAAATGACGATGTCAGCTGTCGTTTCTCACACACTCTGTCTTGCAGAACGAGGAAATTCCTTTTTATTCCTGTTTTGGTGGGGATTTCATTGAGAATGTATGTTGAATGCCATACAAATGCCTTTTTGCACCCATCGAGCTATGCTTTTCCTTGTTTGTTAATATACTGAATTGTATTTCCTGCCCTGACCCAATTTTTGAAGTCTATGTTGTCAGGCAGTTAACTTTAGGGTAACTTGGATTATGGTTACTTAATTTTGGCTATAAATGAACACTTAGAACATTTTCCTGGAAGCTGAATTCTTGTTTCATGTTGGCTGGAGTGTTAGATGGAGCCTTGGGAGAGTCTTCTGCTGGCAGTGAGCGAGACAAGTCCCGGGAAGAGGCGGCCGTGGACACAAGTAAAACAAGCAACAAAGCCAGTCTGGAAGGGCCAGGCTGATATGCAGTCAGTATTAACCATCACCAGTTGGCCTTACTCTTCGTGTTTTCTGATTGTGTCTTGCTGTTGCAACAAAACAGCTGTCAGAAGCAACTTGTTGTGCTCCTCAAACTGTCATCCCCTCCTCTCTTGCTTCACTCTCCAACTTAGTGGCTCAGCCACATTCCCTAGAAGGAGTCGTCCAGAGCCACCTGGAAATGCCATCCCACAATGCGTGTCCAGCACCATCGGTGGATGGGTGGTGAAGACTGTGGTGGTGGTTTTACAAAGCTGCTTACAGAAGTATAGTCATTAGAAAGAGGAAAACAGAATCGTGTACACAAGTTAATATGTCATTTTTTTTTTCCTCACAGGGTTACCCGGAGCCACGGGAAGCCCAGGAGAAAAGGGAGAAAAGGGAGATGCTGGAGAACTGGGCTTGCCTGGAAATGAGGGCCCGCCAGGGCAGAAGGGTGAAAAGGGAGACAGAGGAGATGTGTCTAATGACGTGCTGTTGACAGGTAGGCCGGGGTTCTCCTGACACTGGGGCACAGTGGCTGCCCTGCCCAAGCCATGGGCTGCCCTGGTGGCTTCTCTCTTCTCCGGACTGCTCTGCTCTGTGCAGGTTCTGGAATTCTTTCCTTCCTTGCTTGAGACAGAGTCTTCTGTACCCCAGGCTAGCCTGGAACTCACGGAGTAGTAGAGACTGGCCTTGCCCAATCCTCCTGCCTCCACCTCCTGCGTGCTGGGACTATAGCTGCGGACCACCATGTCCAGCATGGCGGTCTGTATTTCCAGAGCTGTGCATGTTTCTCCATGTGGGCACGTGTGAGTCTGGTATCTGGCTTGAGTATAACTTAACTCTTTCACCTTGGTTGGTAGGGTGTAGCTCCCGCCTGTAGTCCCAAGCATAGGGAGGCTGAGGCTGCCGGGTTGCTTCTGTGCTGAGACCAAGGTCTCACTGTGACCAGAGCAGAGTCTAATGAGGCTGGTCCACCACACTCAGAAGAGCTTCATGACAGTCCCCACAGGCATTCCAACGGTCTCTGGGATTGAATGGCAGTCAGGGTCCACGGGAGATGGGGTCGTAGCGCAGTCATAAAGTGTTTGCCTCGCTTGCAAGAGTCCCTGGGCTAAATTCCCTAGCATAAGAAGGAAAATGGGCAGGGCAGGTGGGAGAGAAAGGGGGAAGGTGAGGAAGAAGTAGGGGAAGAGAAGGAGGAGGGAGGGGAAGAAGAAAAGGGTTCCTCTGAGATTTTTAGGAAACCAGAATTGGGTCTGTCCCCTCTCCATCTCCCATTTTGTTTCCCCACCATTCTCCCCATCCCCCGCCCCCACCTCATCCCCTACCCCCTGCCCGCAGTGACAGACGCCTGGCTGTACTGAGAGCTACTGGGCGGAGGTCCTGCTCTATTCACTTGTGACCTTAATTGACCACCGCTCCCTCGCAGAACTTGCCTGAGAGGATCCCACTACCACCTCTCACAGGGACTTGGAATAATGAAGGATAGACGGATAAAACTCTTGGCACAGATCTTACTCATAGCAGATCATCAGGACCTGCTATGGTAGCTCTTTAACCTAGTAAAGACAGTATTAACCTAAATCATCTCTAGGAAGGGGTGCACACAGCAGGGCGCCAGAGCTGCCCACTTCTCTTTCCCTAAAGGGAAACTATCTCTGTGCAAAAAATTTCATCAGTTTGTCCCTCTCCTCCTCTCTAGGTGCCAAAGGTGACCAAGGACCCCCTGGCCCACCTGGACCCCCAGGGCCTCCAGGCCCTCCTGGAAGCAGAAGAGCCAAAGGCCCTCGGCAGCAAAACATGTTCAACAGCCAGTGTCCAGGTCACCAAGCCTCCACGGAACCCACTCCTTATGCTGATGACACCCTCTTCCAAACTTTGTGACCAAATTTTGAAAGGGGGAGACATTGTCTTAAAAGAGATTCCTCCCTGCAGTATGCTCATGGGAAATCTGAATACCTACTCTGGGAATGAGGACTATGGACTGGTCCAGCACTGAACCTAACAACCCTTCCCTCACCTCTCTCCCAGCACCTACCTTCATACTCTGTTTTTGGTTGGCTATACAACCCTCTCACTTCCCCTCTTCCTTTCCCTTCCCATCTTCCTCTCTCTCCCTCTTTCCTTCTTCCTCCCCTTTCCCTTCTCCTTTTCTCCCCCCTCCCTTTTCCCCTCCCTCCCCCTGGAGCAGTGTTTTATTTGGTTTGTTTCTGATTATTATTACAACTTAAAAACACAGTGTCACTAGGTCCCCTGAGGGCAGCATCTTGAGGTCTAAGCTGTTAACTGTAGCACCAAATTCCTGAGAGATTGAAAATCTAGAAGATAGTGGGGCAATCAAGTTGGCTAATTCCCTGCAGAGAATAATTATAGCAGCTCCATCATTATCAGTGCTGTGTGTTGTGGGAGGAGTTGAACTCAGAGCCCCATGTCTACCATTAAGCTATATCTGTAATCCTCCACCCCTAAGTTTTAAGTGCTGATAACAGTGCCAGGCATGGTGCTATATTTCTTCTGATTCCCATGACTATCTTAGAATGCTGGCATGTGTGTTTCTAACTTACAGATAGAAAACAGACACCCAGGGAACTCCCTGGCCCAGCTCAGTTCAGAAGTTTCCTAGAAACAAAAGATCATAATAATGGAAAATATTTCTAGAGTGGATTTAGAACTTGAGAAGTTACCCAGAATGCCTTGCTTGTCTTAAACCATGAGGCACCCCTTGAGCTGTCATTTCAGCAGCAGACATGGAGGAAGACCCTGACTTTCTCCAAACACCTGCCTTGCTCAGTGTTATTTCTAGAAGTTGTTTCCAGGGAATGGACCCAACTATCAGAGTGAAACGCTGGTTGGGAGCGCTAAAGAGCAAGCTGCCAAAAGCCATGGCGGAATGTTCTAATGGCTATATTTGGCACTTTTCAAGGAAGTGGAGGTTATAGACATAAAGCCATAAAATCCCACTGTGACAACAGCATCTGCTTTGATTGTTGTCCTTTTAGGTGAGACGTGTGTCATCCCGAATGATGATACGTTGGTGGGGAAAGCTGACGAGAAAGTAAATGAACATCATTCTCCACAAACAGGTACAAAATCCAGCACCCTGGGCTGGGGTGTGCCTCAGTGTTGGTGTGCTTCACTAGCCTGCACAGGCCCTAGATTCAATCCCCAGAACCACACACAAAAGTTTGGAAATTCAAAACTGTCCGGTAAGTAACTGTCTTTTCTTCTGACAGAATCCATGATCACTTCCATTGGAAACCCAACCCAAGTACTAAAAGTTAGAGAGACTTTTGGGGCTTGGATAAGAGAGTCTGCTAACAAAAGTGATGACCGTATCTGGGTGACTGAACATTTTTCAGGTACTTCCCTCCAGAGATGGCCCATTTGCTGTTGAAATCGTCTTTGTGGCTTACCTTCAAGCTTATTCTATACCCACGTCTGAGGTCCCCGCTAGTGTTAGTCTCAGGCTCTGTATTTTAGAAAGCACAACTGAATGGGCTGAACACTTTCGTAGTTTGAATGTGTTGGTTGCGAGCTTTGTAGTCCAGATCCCAGGAACATGGCCACCGCAATGTAAACTATCCAATTTTAACACAATAGCCAGAAGAAACAAAGAGCATGATACCAGGTTTTGTCAAGCAGTCCAAACTGTGGATGCCATATGAGACGAATTATGCCACACAAGCCATCTGGCTCTAAGGTCTGGTGTACGTTGGGAAGATATGGCCTTAGATAGAAAAGACGAATTGCGTGTGCACAGTGCGCTGCTCTCTGAGTTTGATGCCATCTTATGAGAGTACTTTTGGCCATATCTCCCACGTGTTTGTTGGGTGGAGCCCGGCGGGAGAAGGCAGAGAGTCATTTCTCAGCCTCCTCATGCCTGAACTGGTCATACTGTCCCCAAAGGACGTATGGTTGAAGTGGCCAGTAGGAGTGGCCTCATTCAGAAAGGTCTAACCGTGCACACTGGTTGACAGAAAGCCAGGAGCCACGTTCTTTATCTTTATCAACACCAACTGATCATTTCAGTGGCTGATCATTTCAGTCAGTAATAACCTCTGTCTACCGGGTGGAGGGCATGGGACTCAACGGAAAAGAAGAATAGTGTAAAGGAGCAGCAGTCTTGGCGGTCTTGGTGGGTAGGAAGGGGTAGGAGGCAGCAGGCAGCAGCTATGGAAGCACCAACTGTTTGTACCTGAGGCAGGCTCGAGCTGCTTGATTTCATAAACACTCTAGGCTGGCGTAGGTGGGAGGGGACAGTTCTCTCAGCAGCCTGACCTTTCCTGGGCAGGGGTGTGGTTGCTATGGGTAACAGCCTCCCCCTTCCCTCCCACAGGCATCCTGGTGAAGGAGTTCAAAGACCTGCCGGCACTTCTCAATGGCAGTTTCACCCTCACCCACCTCCCGCACTATTTCCACGGCTGTGGGCATGCTGTTTACAACAACTCCCTCTACTACCACAAAGGGGGCTCCAACACCATCGTGAGGTGAGCCGCCCTGACCCCTGTGCCCTGTGGGTCTCCTCTCGGGTCTCATGCTGCGCCCACCGTGTGTTGTCTCCTGCAGTTGGATAGGTGTGTTTTGTCATCTTCATGTGCCTAGGTAGGTCAATCAGGGGTTTGTCCTCCAAAGGAATGGCAGAGGACAGTGAGGGAGACCCACGCCCTGGCTTCTGCCTGGGCTCCTGGGGTCATTTGTTGCTGATGTGGCCCCATGGCTAGATGAGAAACAGGGAGAAGGAGACATGGAGTTACAGCCACTGCAACTCCCACATCCTTTGAGACGGGAAGCAAGCAGTCAGAGCTTTCCGGCACAAAGGCTCACTCTCACATGGGGGCTTGCTTATTTTTCTTGAGATGGAGTTATGTTGTTAAAAACTCTCTCCCTGGGGAGACATAAACAACCCCTTTCTTTTCTCCCAAAGCCCCAGTGACTAACAGGCACACTTCCACCGAAGTTCAGTCTGGGGAACCAGTGGATTCATTAGGCTTGCGTACAGAACGATGGGTGAAGGGTCACAGGCGGGTTACAGCTAATGCGACGCTGGAGAGTCTACACCAGCATAGAGAATGGCTGCCCCTCCCCCTAGTTCTCCTCCTCCTGTTTACTCTAGCCCCTCCTCAAGACCCCAAGGCCACGTGTAATCAGGACAGAACTGCATATAACTGGTTGGCAGGATGGCTGGATACTCAAGTGAGAGACCCATGACTGTCCCCCGACCCTCCAGCAGTCAATGTGCCCAGCTGTAACCACCTTTTGCAAACAGACTCAGCCAAAATGCCCTTTCCTTACCTCACTCTCCCTTCCCGCTTTCTCGCCATCTCTTCTCTTGGTCTCCTCATCACCATTTTGGCACTAGTTACCGATACTGGTAGGAGAGGAAAGAACTCCCCTGCACTGGATGCCCTGGTGCCTGATGTCTGTTTAATGCAGCTCCCCACTACCATGTTACCAGGGGTCGAAGCTGTAGGAGTTAGGAGAGTTCTGGGGTGAAGAAGCCCTAAAATGAGAAATGAACTCTCTCTCTCTTTCTCTCTCTCTCTCTATATATATATACATATACATATATATACATATATGTATATGTATATATATACATACACCACTACCATGCTTAGGTGAGCCTGTAAAAGTAACTTTTATTCACTTGACTAACCTAGGCCAGTGCAGGAAGCTTCTAGCCTCCATAAAGTGTAATCTAAGTCTAGAATGTTTTCAGCCTCTGAGACTTACTGCTGAATAAGCTCACCCTTTCTTGTTCTTTCTGAGCTCTGGCTGGGTGGTTTAACTCAGCTGTTCTGGCTCAAACTCCCGGCTAAGCTGACTTATTCAAACTGGCTTCTCCCAGCTTCTGACTAAATTGCTCAGCTTGACCTCAAACTAACTTTGGCAGAATGTTCTAATCTTCCGGCTCCTTCTCATCCTCTGGTTCATTCTCTCTTCAGCTTCTCTGTAAAACTGCTTCCTCTCTCCCTTAAGTAGTTCCCCTTTCTCTCCCCCCTATTCTGTCAAATGTTTCTTTTTTTTCTGCCACTCAATTAGACATCATTTTCAAACATGGGTGCTTCCTTCTATAAACTAACTTTACCTTCATTATTTGGTATTAAAAGTGTGTACCACCACGGCTGGACCTAAGCATTTCTTTACCTGAAGCCTTGAACTCAGAGATCTGCTTGCCTGTCTCCTGGGATTAAAGGCCTGTGCCAACACTGCCCAGTGTGTCTTCATTCCAGCCAGATCACACAGACCTAGAAAGTCTTTAGATATGATCTCTTGCCAGATCGGCCACGTTCTGAATTAAAGTTCCTCTACCTGAGCTGTGCTGACTGGGCAGGGAAGGCATCCTCCCAAGCCTAGATCTCTGTGAAGCCACAAGCCTAGAGAAGAAGGAGGGGCAGGATGTGTCGAAGTGTGCAGCTCCTGTGGGACAACTCCTCACCCCCACTTTCTTTAGGCTCCTTTTCAGCTTAATTCAGGTTTTCTAGTCTGCTTTTTCTCTTGCTTCCTAAATGCCCATCACAGTGAGACAGGCCTCTTGCGCTCAATAGCGCCATCTGGTGGTTTAGCCTACCATTCCTAAATTCCAGATTTAGGTAGCAGTTGACTCATAATTCACTTTTTGATACTATTTCAGTTTGGGGTCTAGGAAATCAGATCCCAGAAGCTAAGGGACATGGGATTCCATGAGTGATTGTATTTATAAGCCTCTTATCCAACAAGAAAATTCTCTTCATAGCCTTTGCTACATCTCTTCTCACCTGGTGAGACTTTTCCTTAATTTAAATTGTCTTTTTTTTTTTTTTTCCTTAAAAATTCAGTATGGAGGCCGGGCTTAGTGGTGAATGCCTTTAATCCTGGCACTCCCCCAGGGCCCTACACTAGGCAAGTATTCTACACCTTTCTAAAGCCCCAGGCCTGTGATGCATTCTGGAGTAAAAACCTCCTTGTCACTGCAAAGCCCTGAGATGAGTCAGCCATCATCAGGTATGGTGGTACACACATTTAATCTCAGCACTCAGGGAGGCAGAGGCAGGGGATCTCTATGAGCTCGAGGACATCCTGGTCTACAAAGTGAGTTCAGGACAGCCAAGGCTACACAGGAAAACCCTGTCTCGAAAAACCAAAACTAAACAAACAAACGAGCAAACAATTCAGGATGGAATAAAGGAATAACCATCAAACTTGGGAGTTTTAAAACCTAATTTTAGGGCCTACAGATGTATCTCAGTTGGAAGAGTGTCTAAAGTTCTGGTTTTGATCTCAAGCAGTATAGAAACTTGGCAGGTAGAGACAGGAGGGTTAGGTGTTCAAGGCTGTCCTCAGCTACATTGCTAATCTGAGGATGATCCTTAATGCCACACTACTGTCTCCCTGTCTCCCTTTGCTTCTGCTAGCACAGGCTAGTCACTGGCCTTCACATCCTTGCTGCTCAGAACATCAGCGAAGGTGAGCAGAAAAGAAGTTTCCTGGCGCTTTTTGGCAACAGAGAACACTAGGCCTGGTCCACCCTTGCTAACTCAGCATAATGAGAGTGTAACAAACCACCGTGTCTGCAGACAAGGCAACTCCACTCCAACTCACTCTCTCTTTTTTTTAAACATGTTTCAGATTTGAATTTGGCAAAGAGACACCTCAAACTCTGAAGCTTGAAAATGCTTTGTATTTTGATCGAAAATACCTCTTTGCAAATTCCAAGACTTACTTCAACATAGCAGTGGACGAGAAGGGCCTCTGGATTATCTATGCTTCAAGTGCGGATGGCTCAAGCATCCTTGTAGCACAGCTGGATGAGAGCACATTCTCTGTGTTGCAGCACATCAACACCACATACCCTAAATCCAAGGCTGGCAACGCCTTCATAGCTCAAGGAATCCTGTACGTCACGGACACCAAAGATACGAGGGTCACGTTTGCCTTTGATTTGTTGGGAGGAAAACAGATCAATGCAAACTTCGCTCTCAGAATGTCGCAGTCTGTTCTTGCCATGTTGTCATACAACATGAGAGATCAGCACCTGTATTCGTGGGAAGATGGCCATCTGATGCTCTATCCTGTCCGGTTTTTGTCGGCAGCATCAAGCAGCCGGTAGGCTGCCGTCTATTCCTTCGTTATACTCCACGTGTCTTCTAGGGCTTGTTCAAGTCCAACAGAAAGCTCATCCGTAAAGGATACCCAGGTCCTTGGAGCATAACCCCATGCCCGAGGCACTTGTGCAAACCGCAAGTCCCCTTTAAACCAGGTTGCTTAAATAGCTACAGATTGGAAGCAGAAATGGATGAGATCTGGTGATGCCTCCTCAAATTCACCAAGTTAGCTCTCCTCCTTGGCCTTAGTTTCCCCATTGGTAATATAAGACATCCAAGTATGATTGATAACACTTCTGCTGTCTGCATGAAATTATGTGACTCTTGGCTGATTATATATTAGATTGCTTTCTGTTTTTTTTTTTTTTGGGGGGGGTGGTTTTTTCTATACATGTAAACAAGTTTATCTGCAGCTTGAGGGGTGAATTATCAGTAATGACTTATGTTTATTTGATACTGAGGGAAGGCACACTGGCTCTTAAGGCTTATAAGGCATAATATTATATATAATTTGTTATTTTTCTCTGAATGTGCACCTGCTACCACAGAATGGCGATTGTTTTCAGCTCCTAAGCACAAATCTAAGGTTAGTTAAGAAAAAAAAAAAAAAACAAAACAAAACATGAATAGCTGCAGGCTCAGGTCTCAAAATGAAACTGCATTGGGCCCTTCTAGATGCCTGTCAATTTCTGATCCTGTCTGTTTGCTGCTGGGGATCACAAACAGAATCCTCAGCCGTGGCCACCTCTGCCAAGGCTATGGGACTGTTACCAGAGTATCAGACACCAAGCGGGCGATAATCTGGCGAAAGCCAAGGAGACATGATGGCTTTTCAGAAGAGGGGCCCCATTTGCAGTTCTTCTCTAGAACAAGGGAAGGCAATGGTCTCAGAGGCCACTGCCAACGTATGTCCCACTCCTGCATGTCACATCGCATTCCTGCACCTAAGAATCATACTGCTGACCATGACAGCAGTGAGGCAGAGCAGCTCTGCAAACCCGTCAGCATCACTACCTAGTCCTTTACAGAAAGAAAGAAAGAAAGAAAGAAAGAAAGAAAGAAAGAAAGAAAGAAAGAAAGAAAGAAAGAAAGAAGCTGACCTTTAACCTAAGGCTTCTTCCCTGGGTCCTGTCTGGCTTTGTTCAGACTGAGAAGTGGCATTTTATGAGATTGGATTTTGGCAGAGGGGAAAGCTAAGAGCAGTATCAAATGAAGTAAGGGAACCTCCCATCTGGGAAGTGTTCACCCCCAAATGATCCTCAAGATTGGATATGGTCCTCTTGGATAGTAAGAAAACAATCTAGTTTAATTGGCTCCTATGAGACCTTAAGTAGCACGTTTTCTGCCAACTCCTTCTGCCTTGCACCGAGTTCCTGGCAGGGTCATGGGGCTTCAAAGGGTAACTGGGAATTGCATCGGCCACTGAAGACAGGAAGAGAAACTACAGAAACTGTCCAGAAGAGACTGACCAGCAATTTGTTCCAGTGTGTGTTCTTAAATATTTTCTCTGGGCCCAAACCCATTCCCAGTGGCCCTGTGACCTGGTTTAATCTTTTTAGTAGAGGTACCATCCAGGCAGCTGTCAGTGCTCACTTGTTGAGTTCTCAAGGTAATGGGTTCCAAAGCTTCTCACGTCTCGATTAGATTGGTTGTGTCTGTCAGTCATCGAAGCTCTTAAAAATATTCTGTCAGATTCATTTGTTGCAATGAAGAGCTCTAATGTTTTATCAGTGTGTCTAATGAATGGTATTGTTCTTTTGAAGTATTCAAATATATGGTACTCTTTCTGAATACAGTGGGCCTGGATATAAGTATATAATTTCATTTACTATTACTTAGTAGTATTGCTGAGAATAGATACAGTACTAATTGTACATATAAGCAAAATAGATTAGTTATTCAATAAGCTCACAGTTTTGATATTTGAACTATCAAATATCTTAGCCTTTCTTTCTTTCTTTTTCTTTCTTTCTTTCTTCCTACCTTCCTTCCTTTCCTGAAAGAAAGTCTGTGTTTGTGCAGACTGATCTTTAACTCCTAGGACTAAGTGATCTTCCTGTTTCAGTCACCTGAGTGCCAGGACCACACACAGTGGCTCTTTGGCCCTCCTAATTGTGGGTAGGCATTCACACATTCGCTACGAGAGAAGCTCATGCTAAGACTTTTGTTTCTCTTCATGGCTGTTTCCTTGTGTTGTCATGGTATAGTAGGATTAGAACAAGTAAGGGTGACTGCTGTTTTATGAGTTTGTCTTTACAGAAGGAAAAGAATTAAGTTTTTTTTTTCTTGTGAATAGTACTCCATTCTATATCACTCAACACACACACAAGCGTTCATACTCACTGCTAAAATAGGGTACACAGTCTTGCATTTTGAAGATATTGTTTTAATCATCCCCACTGTCACTTATAGCCAGAGTTGTTCTAAAAGAACTTTGCAGATCTCTGTATGAGACCAAATGATTCTCGAATTCTTCCCAACTCTAAAGTAGATTCTGGCCCACTAGAAACCATACCTTCCAGCTTCAAATCTAGGCCAGACCCAACACACCAGAGCATTTCTTTCCAACGGATGTTGCCGAGGTGGCTGAGCCTCGCTGCACCTGAGGTGATGGGACAGAGGAAGCACCCAGGCTGCACATTTCAGGTTGGCTCTGGTCTCAGGTTCCTTTGAAGTCTTTTTACCCTCAGAATCAAAGGTGAAATGTCAATGAGAAAGCACAGTTCTTGAAACGCCAGCCATCATCTTCCAGGCAGATAGAGTACTCTTGGGCTTCTCCTGTCTGCCGTTGAGCTACTTGAAGGAAAGGTGAGGGATGGAGTTCTTCGGTTTTTATCAGTGCGGTGGCCTTGTTTATCACACACTTTCCCATCTGTAACCACAGATTTTTAATGACCAGCAAATAAGAGTTGTAATTAGTAAAATAAAATTATCCAGAATATAATCACATGTAGACATATGTGTATTGCAATTTTTACCTCTTGGTTCACACACACACACACACACACACACACACACACACACACACACACAC